TCTAATTGCAACAAACCAGCATTTTTTCCCCTAAAATTAGATACATATAACAAAAAATGTTTACCCGCGTAAAGAGCGGAGAGGCGGAGGAAAATGGAATGTCATTAACAGCAATTAATGTAGGTCTGATAACGCAGTTTCTCTCTGTGTGAAACATGCAGGTCCACATATGCATTCAGTATACTCAATAAATGACGAAAATATGAAATTTACGAAGTTTATATTATTACAGGAACTGCAATTAAGATGTATCTTATCATCCTTTTTGGCGTAGTCGGCAAATTGGCGTTGGTTTCCGGTCAATGTGATCTTGGTACTCCAAAACTGGAAAATGTTGATTGGAATGAAGTAAGTACTGACACACAATAATTATATAATTTTAACCGTCACTCAAAGATTTTATTGGACATTATAAATAATTTTATCACAAGTATCGACACAAATTGACAATCAACAGGTGATTAATGAACGTAATGCAAAACTAATTTAAGGTTTAGGGACAAAAGAATGCTGTCTTCTTCGTTGCTGCGCCGTGTAGTCTGGTACAAGTTTACCGACGTTTCGGAGCTTTTTGTTGCCTCCTTCATCAGGGAGATTGCGATGATGGAGGCACCAATGACCTCTGAAACGTCGGTATACTTTTACACTCTACACGGCACAGCAATCCAGAAGACAACCATCAATAAGGATTATGTTAAGACTCACCAATATACACCACAGCTGTGTTCCCCAGAAGATGACTGTAGCCAGTGTCATTAAATTTACTTCACCCTCCGACATCTGAGCTCACTCCGTTAACTCCCCCCACAAATTCCATCGTCGCACTAATCAAAGTGCAACAAGAAAACTATCGGTTTAGACAGGATTTGTGTGTCTCAGTCTCTCTAATGATCTTACAGTTGACAGGTAAATGGTACTGGCTCTATCACACATCGAATAAAGTAGAAGACAATTTAGACTGTGTTCGTACCATTTACGCGTTCAGCCTCAATGGAATTTCAGTTTTCAACACCGTATATAATAAGAGGTAAGTTTACAACATTAAGTAATTAAATTAACTAGTTTAAGGGATTCTATTCTTTGCTTAATTACGTGACATTCACTGTCTCGTGATACAAGTGGTTTGACACGGAGGCCTCTGAGAGGACTTTTCACTGATATCTTAAATATAAATAAGTAATAGGAGCATCTCTTGTTTGGTTAATGATGACAGGAACATGAAAATCGAAGAACTTCGAGAAACACTTTTATCCGTGTACCAGAAAGCCCTATAATCGAATTCTAACTTCCACGGTCATTCGCTCGCAATATAAAATAACCGCAATAGAAATTTAGAATAAATATACATCAATTCATATTTAAATACATTCAATTCTCTATTTGAGTTAAATAACAATGTTAATGGAAAACATGGCCACAAGTGAAAAAGACTATGAAAACTGAGACATTTACCACAAGAATAAATACTTGACATTGATTTCATACTCC